CCTCAGAAAGTTACTTTAGAAAAACGGGTTGACAATGCTTCAATCCATGGTCAGATTTTTCTCTCTAGTCATAAAACTCCCTCAACACCCAGACCATCAAGGACAGTTTTCTCTACTTTAAATCAAGTTGATGGTAATAATAAAAGTGAAAGAATGTAAAGATCTCAAGTAATATTGGCTCATTTATTATATTCTATAACACTGACACATACAGCTAGCCAATCCCATCTATCCTTGTCAATTTCACTTATGTATACCTGTTTATAAATTATTTTTAGTATTCTAAAAAGAGAAAAGCCATTCATACTTCCACCTCCATACAGCCAAATGAATCCATCAACCTTTTGCCCAGAAGTAGATACAGAGTCCTATTGACAGTCACTATTGCCTTTGATATCCTCAGACACATATCATGCAAAATTACCTATTATTTATACCTTTCTCCTTACTATATTTATGTTAGTAAGGAGATAAAATGAGAAAAAATGACATGCATAAATATGCCTGCAATATATCAGGGAGAAATATTCTTACTATTACTAGTGAATGCATCTGATCACATGTGCTTATTTATAATTATTGTCTTGTTTTTCAAATTCCATATCCCATTTTCCCTTATCCAGTCATAATTTTTGCCAAGGGTGAATGAGGAAAACCTGAATTGCTAGAATCTGCCTGATTCTGGACACATAATGAAGTACACAGTCATCCTGAGACGCCTTAGGAGGTCTCCTACATTGCATGTGTTATTCTTCCTTCTCCACCATATAGGACCTTCTCAATGTAATCAGAATGGATCACCCCCAACCAGTTCAGTAGCTCTCTTCTCTGCCTGCAGATCGAGCACAAGAGGAGTCCAGAGTGGTAAATTCTAGCTGGGCATCGTAGATTACTCCTGTGTTAACTTTTATTAGGGTAGCTCGTGCAGGATGATGGCTTGATCACAGGAGTTCAAGACCAGCATAGGAACCACAGAGAGACCATGTCAAAAGAGACTCAGTGGGGGAAGTGAATTGAGAATGTAAGTTATGTTGCTTATAAAAACAAAATTAGGAAAAATGGCAATGTAGGAAGGATAAATGAGAGAAAATACTTCATCAGTGGAATGGTTATATTTATGAGTGGAAGCATTTCTTACTCCATAACAAAGACCTTCAAATCAACAGAGAATAAATTCATGCAGATGGGAAGTGGGTATTTTACTGGGGTACCTAGGACTAGTGGTAAGTCATGTCACTCCCATATCTTCCCTCTTTATTCCTGGAACTATGAATCCTGCATACAGGAGGGACAGTACCACAGACTGGATGCTGATATAAAGCATACACAAATTCTCAGGACATTGCTCCAGTCCAGAAAGATACTGACATCTATGTGGTGTTGTAACTGATTCTCCAAAAGGCCAAGCCACCATTCTCCTGACTCATGGGTGGTGAAAAATATGGTAAAACTAATAGATTTCCAGTGTGGGTCCATTAACACAGTTCGTTTGCTCTCAGTGAGCTGCTTAACAAGAAGCAACACTGTGTGGGTAGCCACATGATCTTGAAGGAATTATGGGTAATTCACAAGATGGTGGTTTTGGCAGCAGCTCCATTTGCCTATAAAGCAAAAATAACACCCAGTATAAAGGTCTCGGCCAATAATAAAAGGTCCCAGGCCTTCCAGATGGAACTGGCCCAATGTTATCAACATTAATGAGTTAATTCTTTGATTCTGTCTTCCAAAATATGTTCTGAGATTGCAACTTCACTGGTCAAAGGTAGTTATTTGGGAACCGAAGAGATGGCTTAGTGGTTAAGAGCCCTTGATGCTTTTCCAGAGGATATGGGTTCCGTTTCCAACACTCACGTTGCCATTCTCACCTACCTATAGCACAGGTCTCAGGTGATGTGATTGCCTCTTCTGGCCTCAACAAGCACCGAGTATTCATACGCTGCATATATACATGCAGGCATACAATACACACATAACAATAAAATAAAACAAAGTAGCAGCGTGGGGAAGCAGAAATTTGAGAAGACTAGTTAGTGCTAGAGCCTGAGGGAGTAGAGGTGGATATAACTGCAAGTTTGTTGTTGAATCAAAGGCTATCCTCCTCTGTCTCAATATATCTCATAAGCTTTATCTACCCAGGCACATACTGATTCAGGTGTATTGGTTTACCCGAATCATGATTTGTGGTGGAAAGAGGAGGTAGCCCTTTCTAATTAATCATTAATTCTACCATCTTCTCCTGAGAAGCTCCTCTTTCAGAAGAAGAAAATATTGACATTGAACTTGCAGCTACCTGCTGCTTCAAGACAACAGCAGTTCCCACAGGGTTTTGCACAAGATGCTAGGAACAGCAGGCTAAGCTTATGTTGGTAACTGGATTTCTGCCTATGCCCCCTTTCCAGTGACCACTGCACCAGCCCCCTGTGAAGAATCCCCACAAACTCTGGGGTGTGAATTATATTCTTTATTGAAGGTAGTACTGATCCAACCAGGAATGCCAGTAAAGCTAAGTGAACGGGCATACTTTGGATTTCTTCACCTGTAGTTGTAGTTTTTGTTGTTGATACAGACTCGTTGAACTCAAGCTGACATGAAACTCTCCAGACGTTTGAGGTTTGAACTCCTGATTCTCCTGCCGTTATCTCCTGATTGTCGGGATTACAGGCTGCTTTTATGCAGTGGTAGCAATTGAACCAGAACGTCGTGAATGCTGAGGGAGCACTCTATCAACTGAGCTACACCTCCAGCTCCCTGCATCAGACTTTATGAATCAGATGCCCCGATGTTTCTGTATCCTCATCCATGGTTGAAAAAAAAATTAAGAGAAAAGAAAACGGAAAGAGGGCTTCCCGGTGTTTGAGTTTTCCCTGCAGTCTCTGTTGTACATCAGGCTCTGAGAAACCATCAATCGGATGGAATGTGGAGCTACAGGACAGAGAGGAGAGCTAGGGGTGTGGGGAAAGCAAAGTAGGGGGCCAAGATGATGAATCCCCGGGCAGGTTTTCTTTAATACAAACTCACGGTATTCCTGGGGGTGGGTGAAATCAGAGCTGAAACGCACATTCGGAAATGAAAGGAGGTCCCAGGCTTTACCACAGTTCCTTGTCCAGCTGCACTTAGGAACTCAGCAGAGGGCGCTCAGAGGAAAAGAAGCAGTTCTAAGGTGACAGAGCCAAGGCCGACGTGTTTCCTTGCTGTATGTCTGAAAAGCCGTAAGATGGCGCACAGTATCCAGAAAGTTGCTTTGCATCTGCCTGTGAGATAAACTGAAAGACCATGAAGCCCCCCAGCCCAAGAGCTTTTGTCGTGCGGTGTTTGACTTTTCACTGACTCTTCTTCATTATCCAGAAAACAATTTAAAACCCTTTATTTTCTGAGATTTTTGAGTTCTTTACTACAGCAGTCCAGCTATCCTGACATACATTACTTCTTAGGAGTTAACGACCTCTCAGCCTCTGTTGTGAAATTCCTTCTCAGCGGAAAGCATAAGCAATTTCCATCTCTTCTCTTAAGTTCCCAAAAATCTCTTCAGCTCTACCCTTCTCCAAAGGTCCCATGGCGTCGCTTTGTCAAATATAACTTTGGAGAACCAATGAGTGTATTGAGCTAGGAGTGCAATCACTCTTCCCCAGCCCACCTAACCTAAAAAGCCTCACCCTGCAGGGCTGAGGGCTTCCCCACCACTATATATAGAGTGCGTCTTCTAGTCTTCTCCAGCCTTTGTATATCTAGCACGTTCTCCAGGTCACGTAGAGAGTTGCCAGGTGTTCGGGGATGACTAGATGAATATTATATTCCCTATGCTGCTCCTCTATGCAGGGTGCAAACTGCCAACAAATTGAACTGGGATTATTTTATGCAAAGGGGAGCAACTAAATCCTCCAAGACTGCACTTGCTTGCCCAGGAGGACCGTCAGTAGTGGCAATCTTCTAACTGATATCTAGATGAATCAAAGACTTGGACACATGTGTGAATAGCTTTCCAGCACCTATTCTTTCTTCCTTTCTTTTTCTTGTCTGTGTTATCATTTCATTTGTATTAGAATTTAAGCTTTGTACAGTTTGTTTCCTATATTTCCCTTCAAACCCACCACTGTCCCTTTCTCACCTATCCCCACTAGTGTCTCCTTTGTCTCCCTAGACAGA